TGTTGCTGTTTAACCATGTTTCCGTAAAAGCGTAAATGTCGTAGCAAGCATCCGAACAGGCCAGTTTGTACGCTGCTACAGATGTATTTATGCCACCGACATTCTGATAGTAGAGTAGTACCGCATCATTCTGCGTTTTTGTTGCATTACGGTTGTCGTTGCTGCGTTTGGTAGCATCATGGCATGAGTCGGCTGAAAGTGTGGAAGAACTTTGTACGGCAGCGTAGTGATCATTTCCTGCTTCGGCAGGGCATATACTATTAATGCAATTACCTGCGAGAACAAGCTCAGTAGCTAATTGCTACTTCCTACGGCGAGGTATGAAACCGGGTCGTCCAATACGGATAATTTTAAGGACACGACGCTTAGAGGGCGTCCCCTACTAGCGGTTGACGTCAAGGGCTGGCAGCGGAACGAGGTCCTAGCCCAATCGGTTTTGCTGCAGATGTACCTGGCGATATGTACAGCATTAGTTGAAGGGTCGAATGGTTTGATGTAAAACTGTTTATAGTTGACAGAAGGCTCAACGATTGCTGATTGAGGGGTCGGATTTGAATCCGAAGACATTTTACTAAGCGGTGCAGGAGTTTGAATTTGTTGATTCACTAATGGTAAAGCAACATGCTGAGGTACAGACGTATTTGCTTAGTTTGGATATTGAAGATATGCTTGTGGTCTAGATGATGCAGGTGTAGAGGATGGTTTCCGAGTTTTACTCTTTGGCGGCTGAAGCTTCGTCGAAGAATTTTCATGTCTTGGAGCTGGAACCGGACGGAAAGCCTGAATTGGAAGTGTAGTACCGTTGCCCGCTCCAGCTGGACATATACCCGTTGTCAAATTACCTGGCAGGAGTACTGGTGGGAGACAATTTTCATATGACTTGGTATGGTCCGGGAGCAAGGAGGGAATAGCATCGCATCTGCAACGTGATGAGATATGTTTGAGGATGGAGCAGTATCCGAACTAGCTTCGGTAGGACATATAATTTGAGCTGAGTTACCTGGACAAGTAACGTTATTACCAGAAGTAGATGTTGTATGTACCTGTGTTTTTGGTGGAGTAGGCATGTCAGCTTATGTGGAAGTGGTGTAGTTCTCGGTCGCTGCATCCATTAGAGTTGTTGTATCGATTTCAACCGGCGCGATACTACTGGAGTTGCTCAGAACGCGAACTTGTTCAATTACATTGCTGACATCGTTATGGTTGTTACAGCACGACTTAGAGAGGAAATGTTCACTCGTCAGCGTATGTATTTTGTTGAGGTTGGAGATCATGTTGTAGCAGGTGAAAATCTTCGATTCAATGTTCTTCTCAGTACAGCTAATTTCCTTACGCACAGAGTCAACCAGCGAGTACAAGCCATCAACTTTATGGTGTAAATGAAATGCTGAATATTCTCTGCAGTCATGACAAAACCAAAATAATCCATCGTTTTCACGACATCCAGGTGCAATAGCAGCATTGACTCCGATACATTTCCAATGGAATTTTATCGCAGCTGTAGCAGCTCAATAATGTATTGCGATATTTGACGCCTGCCAAGCTGCAACCATCAAATGAGCATTCGTCGTCTGAGCTCATCGTGAAAGCTACACTATGAGCTTTAAGTAGTTGCTAACTTTGATCCCAGAGGCAATGATGGGTTAAATTGGGAAATTGATGACCGTTCCTTTGATGAAAATACGGCAAAACTATTTTATGTTAAAACACCACGAACTCTGGTAAAACTTCACGACTGGCACAATGATCGAACAAACTGGTACTTAATGAATGTGATATTCACAATACACTTAATTAACGAGATCAATATCACAACAAAATAACACTTTAGAAAATTGACACAAAAACAAGAGCATAACAGTTGACCAGTGGTAACGTAATTTTTTACCTTTGATTGTGTTGTTTTTTATGATAGATATTATTATGAATCACTACTGGAATAATCTGGATTGAACGTTACAGGAAAACAATACTTAGAGAAAAATACGATGCATGCTTGATCTAGGTTTGAACACATTGTTGACTGGTTACGGGAATGGCATTTTATTTAAAAAGCTCTATATTTTGGGGCTTGAACGGTCATCACTCACAGTGACTTGTTGTGATGTAAGGAACTCAGTTGCTTAGTGGCAACCATTTTTGCTTACTGAATAGAAGATTGTGAGTACAATCCCAGCCTCCATAAAATTTTTGAGTTGATTGGGATACATCATTACAGCATTTACTGACCTCACTTTAAAATATCGCATAGCTTTCTAATGGGAATTCAGATCTTATTCACCCTTCCTACTTACAAAAACGTCCTTCTCGTGACAACCTTATTGAAGCAGAGGTATACTTGGACCCAAGTAACAACGAATGTTGATATAAAAATCCTCACCCTCCCTGATGACCGTTAGGATGTGGCTGCCCGAGTAGACGAGAATGTCAAATCAATAGCAAGTTACTACTATTAAAATGGAGGAACAGAACATCAAGAATTGCTATTAGTTTGACAAGACGAACCAGTTCTGTTGACGTTTTTTACGACACTCGCTTCGTTGTCATGCGCGATAGTCTGCTTTTATTCGTACTCTCATGCTCTACCGTCGTCTCTCGTACACAACACAAACGGTAGAACAACATTCGAGCAAAAAGAAAATGTTCACATAATTATTATATGACATGTGTGATTTCGTTCTAATTCCTCAATTTGGTGTAAATTAAACCCTTTCTGATCAGAAATGTTATTACTAGGACATCGTTGCTTGCTATTTTCAGAATTCACACAAGCACAACATCAGCAGCTCTTATTATGAGAAAAACTAAAATACATACATTCGTGACGGTCTTTGGCAACAGTGTCGTATGACATGTTTTTTTATTTTGGTACTGTAATTTGATAGCTTGTTTTGCAAGCGTCGGTAGCAAAGGCAGTCGACTATCACAGAAAATATGTCGACTACGGTGACCACTTACAAGACTGATTGTAGTATATCAAAATGAATTTTCTTATTTTTGAATTTTTTACAGATTTTTTATTTTTACCGAACAGTTCCGCAATTGAAAAATAACTGGGCATCTAAAAGCTCAATTAGCGAATCTTAAGCCCCATTTGTTTGGTTCTTTGTGCTAATTTCGCTGGATCAAATCAGTCGCGGAGTAGCGTCTACGAATTGTACGGTCATTCTCTCTTGTTTATGGATTATTTAATCGATTCAATTCTTATTTTTCTTCATCTTCTTTTGGCTATTACGTCCCAAATGGAACTTAACAACACCCCGAAACACAAATCCTCCTCCCCTTCGCCTGGGTGATTTTTAAGTTTTTTAAATCATGTCAGATTGGATCAAAATAAGCCGGCGCCGGTGGTGTAGTGGCAAGCGTGACTGCTTTCTAACACCCCAATGGGTCTGGGTTCAATCCCAGCCGAGGTCGGTGGGATTTTTCTGAGGCATAAAAATCTCTGGTCACGTCTTCCTTCGGAAGGGAAGTAAAGCCGTTGGTCCCGGCCCATGTGTGTTGTGAATGTGCGATATCCCACGCAGGTGCTGAAGCTGCCTTTCTTGCACATTCGGTTGCCGTCAATGGATGGCAATCGATGTCCGTCGGTGATTGGCACTAGATTGCGGAACAGATACCGACGTTAAATAAAGGAAAAGAAGAAGAAGAAGATTGGATCAAAATTGTTATAGTCGATTTGAGAAATTCAAGATTACCATTTAATTGGTGCCCTTGCATACATCAAGCACTTCCGACAAGCAAACTAATATTAACTTTCAGGTTGCCGTACATTTTCCCATACTAATTACAAAATTTGTAACCCATCTATCTTTATTCTAATTACACAACTTTTATTTTTGTCCGCATATTTTATGACGATGCTCTGTTTCTTTCAATATTCACCTGAGTTTATTTTCTCTCTCAGAGCACATCATCCTCATTCATATACATCTCCAGCACCTGAAGCTGTGCATTAATTTAATACACTTTCCCGGACAAATTCTATTCTGTTTCATTAAGCGTCCTTGTTCGATTTTTTTTCTTCCCACGCAACTTCAGCAACATGATTATAATCCGCTTCAGCTCTTGCCAATAATAGACCAAAGCCGACAAAATCCTTCAAGACAATCACCGGAAAAGGCAGATTACAAACTGACGGAAAAGGCGAAGGTAAGTATGTAGGTGTACAGTTCATTCAAGCTCTAGGTTTCTTTCTTTTTTTTTTTAGAAGTAGCTCCGCCCCGTGTGGGGTGGCAATAACGAACGGGCTCCAAAGAACGTCGCCAACGGAAAGTACACAAGGATAGAATTAAACTTTATTCGAAGCTCTGCTTCTGAGGCTGCTGTTACCTGAGGCGACCACACGGCATAAGCAAACTTACTCCAGAGGAGCTAGGCAGGTACCGACACACACTCGGGGTTTCCTGAGCAAGAACGAAACCATCCGGGCGAATGTTGGAACATGAAAATTCTTAAAATATTTATTTAATAATTCAGGTTATATTAAAAGCATTCTCCAACCACTTTATTACGTACACGGACGGGTGGATGTTTCGGTGTGCAGGAGAGCTTGTTTTTTCCTGAGTGGAAAATCATTTTGAGTGGAAAAGCCTGCGACGTCATCGTTGCGTTGGTGCGGGACTGTGTACCCGAGGCTCTGCTGTTGATTCAGGAACAAAGTTCTTCGGTGGTCCAGGGCAAAACCACTGGGGCTATAACTTTGCCGACTTTCGAGTACACATGGGCAGGCAAATAGCTTGCAGTACGGTTTCTTTACTTTGGAAGTGTCGAGTCGCAAAAAGCAGGCTCGATTTGAGATGAAACTTTTTTTAGAAAGGGAAAAGGGAGTAGCAGAAGCTGGAACTTGGGAATCGGTTAAAGCTATTCATGGGATTTCAAAAATCTTAAATGAGCAGTGAATAGGTTACCCGATCTGAAACTAGCTAGCCTGCATATTCTGATAAGATTGTCTCGTAATGTCGCGATGGAATTTTCTTTTCAAATGTGGTCTTACTCACCTTTTTACCAGCGCCTTGTGTTCGTTCTCCTGACTAATGGCCACCATGGCGTGCTTGCAGGTTGGCACCACCCGCTGACGAATCGTCCAGTAGCAGGTCACGTTCCTGGGATACATTCCCGGATAGTTTGGACTCTGAAGTCGACACCTTTTCCTGTAGCACTCGTCGTACTGCCGGGTACAGTACGTTCCGGGGCTAACCTTCCCTAGCTCTAGCAGTTCGTTCGGTGATCCGTACCTGAATTGGTCACAAAACAGAGGAAAGCAGAGTTAATCAATCGAAATTTTCCGTGTGTTAAAAATCTACTAAAACTACAACTTTATCCCAAGACTCAATCACACAGATACACAACAACAGTTCGGGCGTATCAGGATTGCCAGCGAGCAAACACTTCCGGAAAGAAATCTCAATTTCAAACAAAACTGATTCTTCTTCACTTGTACCTATATGCGTTGTCAACGATGTATGTACAAGTGCTTTTGCGTGAACTTGCCTGAACCGGATAAACAAGCAAGTTTTTCCTAGCAGAGCACACACCGCTTTCCCCTCTCTCCAGTAAACGCTTGAGCTTCTCCCCCTACCAAATGGCGGGCTTCTCGGTGGGGTTTCCCAATTTTATGCTTGATCGGTTCCAAATTGAGGCGAATAAATGAATCAATGAATACGGATTGCGGAGTGGATGAATATATTGCTGTGGGCCGGGAGTCTGAGTATCTTTCTTGTTTGGAATTCCACCATCCAATCGACCGATTGAACAGAAGAACGAACGAACGACCGAAATCCTCCGGCAGCTCCGATGCCACCGCCGACCGCAAGAAGACAAACCAATTTGCTCCCTTCGGTGGTTCCTGCCACGTAGGCACCGTTCCCCAGTCTGAGTCCAAAGCCCCAATGACATGGGGAATATTTTCTGAAAATGATTGGAAGATTTCGAGCTGTCAGTTGCTGGTATGGCGAAAGGTGGGCGCTTTAATTTTGAATGAATTCGTTAGAGAGCGTTTTTCTGGCATTCAATATTCAGAATTGGATCCAATTGAGGCTAATCGGCATGTTTTATCTTGATTTTTTCAGATAGATCTAATGAAACGATATCAAAGATATCGCAAAACTTCAATCAATTTATTGGGAAAGTTCATCAATCAAATCAAGCATTCTAGAGGAATCTCATCTCAATTGTCTCATTCACCCCAATACACAAGATTTTCAATTTTCAGCTATTCTGTCACTTGTTTGTCTGTTTGTTCCTTTTCCTCGGCTTATTCGTCTGCCACAGGTGCATTGTCCTGCACGCCATTCAACACCCCAGGTTCCGCAAAAACTCATCTTCTATCCAGCATAAGCCATGTACATTTCATACAGTTCTTCAATTGAATCCCACCCGAACAGGAGACTCTGACACTGCAATAGGAAAACAAGTTTTGATTGCAGCAATTCCATTTCGTCAACTATCCCTCCCATCCCTCTGCTCCCATCTGTATGTAATCATTCAAGAAGAACGTCAGATTCCATGTTTATTTCATTGCTTGTATCTTTTGGCCCACTGATGCTCACGTCCTTAGCTTTTTCGGGTAACCCAACAAGGATCTTGGGATGAAGAAAGAGATAGGAATTCTGTTTGGATTAGTATTGCAATGTTTATCCTATCCGCTTCTTGCCAGCTTTGTTTTCCTCTAGTCCCTCTCATGAATGGTTCTCGGTGCTTTGTGTACTCACGTCTGTGTTCCTCTATGTATACAACTACACACGTTGTAGTTTGTTTGCCAAATATGTATGTGAAGACACTTACTCACTTTCTTACATCTACATGAGATGCTAGATCAAAGGAAAGCTGTTCGAAAATAGTCGACCTTTTGCGAAATGCTTTACGGACTCTCTGTGAGTAGCAAATAGTCAAGGGTTGTATTATGATAGGAACGGAGCGCTTGGATACTGGCTATGACAACATACAAATGAGCGCTGATATCTAGTTTGTTCAACTGGAGTATTGACTGGGACAAGTTAACAGCTCTTGTGAATTAACGACGTGCTGGGATAAATTTATCTCCAAGCTAATAATTCTAAATGAATCGAAATTGTCAGCGCAAGTTACAAAATTACTTATGCGTTCATTCACTGCTCAAAGTTCCACATTTGTTTTTGAGACGTTTCAAGATAAAAAAAAAGGCAATTGGTAGAGCTGCGATTAACGAGTACCTTTGACAGTGGGAATTTGCAGTAATTTCATGAAAGATTCCCATTCCAGAATCAAATCCGAGTCAACAGGAACAAAAAAGTATGCTCTGGTGTTGTATCGTTATTTTATTATTTTTTTGAACCTACAGGAGGTCTTGGTCTAAAGTAAAAGATAGGTAACTTTTTATACAGCAGTTTTCGAGAGCTTAGTTTTTACATTCTCAGTCCATGCTTTGGCCAAATTGAGCTATTTTTATTACTTTGACTAATTAAGTTTGTATTACTTCAAGCGCGAAGTTAACGATTTACATAGTTGAAGATGCTTAGAGTGGTCATTTTATATGATATATGAGGAGATGAAAGTGTAGAGTTGATAGTTCCGTTAGAGTGAAAGCAGTGCAGTGTGCAAATTGTATATAGGTAGTATAAATCGAGCAAAGGTCAATTTTGAGGAAGGCACGAATCGGCTTGATCATCTCCTTTACCAAGCTCTCCTGTTGGGGAGGGATGGTGAGGGGTATTCTCTTTTTTTTCTTTGATTTGTTTTCCGTCGATCTTGTTTTCCGTGCTACCAATGCTACCAACGCCAAAGAGGCAGCTCCCACAACCTGGACCCTACCTATCGACCCATCAATTCATGAACCGGGGACCAACGGCTTTACTTCCCTTCCGAAGGAAGGCGTGATCAGAGATGTTATGCCACAGAACATCCCGGCGGCGCCGACTGGGATTGAATCCAGGCCTGCTGGAGTGAGAGGTAATCACGCTTACCACTACACCACTGGCGCCGCCAAATGGGTATCTCTCCCCGCTTCCAGTGGCAAAAGAGATGATCGCCGATTTGCTCACGTACCATCGATGTGCGGAAACATTTCTATCGATTGTTTCACAGGCAAGCTTTCAGAAAGCATCCACTCGATAGGTTTGGAAATTGCAGCTATTGTTGCCTCTACCGCTGTATGTGCTCCTGTCATCGTCAACTTAACGATCTCGAGGAGACACGGGGAGGGCAGGTTCTGCTACTGTACCGATCGACCAATGACAGTATATTGATGGTAAGCTCCCATTTAGAGTTATGAACTTTAACTAATCATGTTTGTATTACTTCATGCGCAAAGCTAACGATTATCAAAGTTGACCTTTGCTGTCGGAAAGTGATGATTCCGATGGAGATTTCGATGAAGCGGAAGAAGGTTCGTTAAGCGAAGGCAGTCAACATGCTGACGAGAGGGATGCTGATGTGGAAGTTAATGTGCGGCGAAGCGAACGGGTTCGAAAGGCACCAGCGAAGCTGAACGATTATCTTTGTATTGCGTATGCCCTGAATGCCGAGTTTCGTCGAGGATGTTCCTGAAACCGTCGAAGAGCTGCAGAAATTGAAGGATTGGCCCGAATGGAAGAAGACCATCGATAAGGAGATGACGTCGCTAGCTGAAAACGGTACCTGGCAGTTGGTAGACTTGCCTGCTGGATACAAGCCGGTGGATTGCAAGTGGGTTTTCCGGCTAGAGCTGGCACTGGATGGATCCGTACAGAAGCGTAAGGTACGTTTAGTTGCAAAAGGGTTTACGCAGCGATATGGGTTAGATTATTCGGAGACGTATGCACCTGTTGTTAGGATGACAACCGTTCGTTCAATGCTTGCGCTCGCCAACCAGCATAACTTCGCTATCCACCAGATGGATGTGACATCCGCTTTCCTCAACAGCGTCCTGACTGAGGACATTTATATGCGTTAGACGAAGAGATTTGAGGAGGGGGATAGAGTTTGCAAGCTCAAAAAATCTCTTTACGGGCTGAAGCAGGCATCCAAGACTTGGAACGATCGCTTCAATGAGTTCATTAGTCGGTGTGGTTTTCGGCGATGCGAAGGCGATAACTGCTTGTATGTTTGTCAAAGCAAATCAGGTCCTGTGTTCCTGTTGCTGTACGTGGACGATGTCCTGATCATTTCGAAGGATGTCAACGAGATTAGGGCTGTGAACGATTGTTGGGGAAGTAATTCAAGATGCAAGACCTTGGAGACGCTCGGATGTTCCTGAATATGCGGATCGAAAGTGATCAAGAGCAAGGAGTACTGAAGTTGAGTCAACCACACTACGTCAACGCCGTGCTGAGACGTTTTGGCATGGAAACATGCAAGCCGTCAATAACGCCGATGGAACCTGGTCTCCAACTCAAGAGAGCTCATCGGTTGCCTTACTTATTTGGCGGTAACCTCCCGTCTGGATTTGAACGCAGCAGTGTCGTACTTCAGCCAGTTCCAGTCCAACCCTACGGAAGATCACTGGACACATGCGAAGAGAATTCTTCGGTATTTGAAAGGAACCCCGGAGTATGAACTAGTGTACACTCGCAAGGAGTCAGCATGTCGTCAGATCGTGGGCTTTGCCGATGCGAATTGGGCTACTGACATCAATGAACGTCACTCCGTATCCGGTTAGCTGGTTCAAATCTACGGAGCGACGACTGCTTGGTGCACCCGGAAGCAGAGAACTGTAGCACTTTCCTCGTCCGAGGCCGAGTACTACGCATTGGCAGATTGTATCTGTGAAACCTTGTGGACCTGTAAGTTGTTCGAGGAGTTGGCAATTCGGGATCAAGATCCTGCACAAGTATTAGAGGATAATCAGTCTTCAATAGCTATCACTGAATCCGAAGGTCCTTCCAAGAAGCTAAAGCACACTGAAGTAAAGCTACACTTCATCAAGGAATGTGTTCGAAATGGAAAGGTGGATTTGTGCTACATCACGTCGACCGATAAACCGGCAGATGTTCTAACGAAAGGCCTAACGCCAATGTTGTTCAACAAACATCGTCTGGCCATGGGTGTTAACTCGTGATTATTTGAGGAGGGGTGTAAGGAGCAAACTATCCACTGGGTAAGAACAAACATACAAATGAGGGGTTTCAAATGACCGTGCAATTAAACGTAAATAAACAGTTGTTCTCTTGTACTCAAACGTACTAGTCGTGTTTCACTCTCGTTTCTCGAGTTACGCGTTCCTATCACAGTCTGCTCTTATAATTACCACATCATGGCTACAACCTTCGGTTCTGGATTT